AGTTTTTACTTTCTTAGTTCGTGCAGTGATGCTCACTAGTTTGTTCCGTCAAAAATGCTTTTAATGTTAAGTCACGTCGACCTCGACAGAAAAACTAAGCTCACCCTGTCATAAACAATGGTTTGATACCGTAAGTACCAATTTAGGTACATCATTGGGCTTTGATCACAATGATGAAAATAATGTGCGTTTCCTCACGCTCGCCACGTTTATTCTTTGGAAAATTATTTTACTGGAGGGCGATGTCGCTTCCTTGGCGCGTCTTGACTCTGGCCGACGAAAATTATCGAGGTGAACTCTACGAAATTCTAGTCAAATATTTTAAAAACTTTGTCTACCCTTGATTTGCAAGCAGAAAAAGAAGGCAAATTCCGAACGGTATTTGAAAACATTTAATTCATTAGTCAATTCATGAACTGTTTTATAGCAGCCCGAGGAAAAAGCAAAATTGAAACAACCGGCGTATCGGTCAAATGAATTCCAATTTTTTCAACAAGGAGTTGGTAAACTCATTTTTCCTAGTAAATTTAAGTGGGGGTCATTTTTTTGTGACAGCCGATCAAAGATAGACATCTCTGAAATGTCTCTGAAACTCTTTTTAAAAAGAGCGTACACTTCCAGTAATATTGTCCTCCTTCTAGCAACAGCGCAACAGACATTGTTAATCCTACGTAGCGTAGGTGCATCAGTTGTATTACGTCTTCAAAGTGATGCCATATAAGAAATCGAGTGTCTAAAAAGCCCTCAATTCAATCTAACACTCGAATTGATAAAGTCAAGATGGTGCAGTTGTCTTGTTCATTTGCAACTAACTGTAGAACCAAATGTTATTTTTCTCGCGCTAGCCAGGGGCGGCAACAGCTCACACCTCTAAATTCGTGGGTATACAGCTTAAAAAAAACATTTGAGAGACGTCGATGTATTCCAAACATGCGTTTCGTCCGAGATGGAGCTTATTCTAGCGCGTATTGGCTTATTTGGAGATTACGAAGGCCGCGATTTCACGATGTACCTCAAATGTCGTGCACAACTTGGTGTGAGATTCAGACCTTCGGGTTCGTAAATGCCAGTATCCTCCTCATAAAAATCGGAGACATAAAGTGAGAGAGATATGAATCTGCAGATGGCAGAAGAAATCAGAGCTGGTGGCGAGTCTTCCTGGTGGCGGCAAGGTGACTGTAAACCTAAATAGAACGCGTACTGTAGCTGCTATCTTAGAGTCGGCAATGAATAGGGAAGAAGGGCAAGAAGAGCGCTTATCTGAACATCAGTTTTCCTAACTGGTGATTTGTGACTGAGATGAACTTGATATCATATGATTGCTAGGGATACGCAGGTACTGTAGAGGCGTTCACATAGATAGAGGTGGGCGATCCTCCCTCTGACTTAAGAACTGCGACAAGTTTATAGCGCAGACCAACTGGCACAGTTTGAAGCACCTCAGGGTCTCACTAGGCTCGTCACATTAGAAACCTTCAGCAAACTAATCGTAGAAGCGGGTGGTTATCAGCAACGTGCACAGATTTCTGAACGCGGGTCATCGCGAGAGCTATACCCAATCCGTCTGGAAAACTGATGTTCAGATAAGCGCTCTTCTTGCCCTTCTTCCCTATTCATTGCCGACTCTAAGATAGCAGCTACAGTACGCGTTCTATTTAGGTTTACAGTCACCTTTCCGCCACCAGGAAGACTCGCTACCAGCTTTGATTTCTTCTGCAGATTCATCTCTCTCTCACTTTATGTCTCCGATTTTTATGAGGAGGAAGCTGGCATTTACGAACCCGAAGGTCTGAATCTCACACCAGGTTGTGCACGACATTTGAGGTACATCGTGAAATCGCGGCCTTCGTAATCTCCAAATAAGCCAATACGCGCTAGAATAAGCTCCATCTCGGACGAAACGCATGTTTGGGATACATCGACGTCTCTCAAATGTTTTTTTTTTTTTTAAGCTGTATACCCACGAATTTAGAGGTATGAGCTGTTGCCGTCCCCGGCCAGCGCGAGAAAAGTAACATCTGATTCTACAGTTAGTTGCAAATGAACAAGACAACTGCACCATCTTGACTTTATCAATTCGAGTGTTAGATTGAATTGAGGGCTTTTTAGACACTCGATTTCTTATATGGCATCACTATGAAGACGTAATACAACTGATGCACCTACGCTACGTAGGATTAACAATGTCTGTTGCGCTGTTGCTAGAAGGAGGACAATATTACTGGAAGTGTACGCTCTTTTTAAAAAGAGTTTTAGAGACGTTTCAGAGATGTCTATCTTTGATCGGCTGTCACAAAAAAATGACCCCCACTTAAATTTACTAAGAAAAATGAACTTACCAACTCCTTGTTGAAAAAATTGGAATTCATTTGACCGATACGCCGGTTGTTTCAATTTGTCTTTTTCCTCGGGCTGCTATGAAACAGTTCATAAACTGACCAATGAATAAAGTGTTTTGAAATACCGTTCGGGATTTGCCTATTTTTTCTGCGTGCAAATCAAGGGTAGACAAAGTTTTTATAACATTTGACTCGAATTTCATGGAGTTCACCTCGATAATTTTCGTCGGCCAGAGTCAAGACGCGCCAAGCTAAGCGACATCGCCCTCCAGTAAAAAAAATTTTCCAAAGAATAAACGTGGCGAGCGTGAGGAAACACACATTTTTTTCATCATTGTGATCAAAGCCCAAAATTACCTAAATTGGTACTTACGGTATCAAATCATTGATTATGACAGGGTGAGCTTAGTTTTTCTGTCGAGGTCGACGTGACTTCATATTAAAAGCATTTTTGACGGAACAAACTAATGAGCATCACTGCACGAACTGAGAAAGTAAAAACTTGTATTTATCTCCCACGCGTTTCGTCTAACAATAGTAGACTTCATCAAGGATTTTTTCAAGCAGGGTAAATAAGCTTCCTCATATACAAATAGTAAATAAGTTATCTCTTTACTATTGAAGTCAGTGGATAGAATACGCCAGGTGCGCCTACGGTGTTATACATGCGTGACATTTTCCGGACGTTACATGTACGAGTACGTGATCCGTTTAAGGGTCAAAGATTTAGTGTAAATATTTCACTCCTCAACATCACCCAATGTCTCTAGTTTACAGAGGTCTTAGAAAGTTTCATCATATGGAGTTGCCTTCTGCGGGTAGAAGACTACAAGCGAATTTCTCAGGCGTAATTGCCTTTGATTTCTCAATTGATGTTGTCGCAAACACAGTTTTTGGGGGTCACGAGACAAAAAAACTTAATAATAAAATAATAAAACTTAAAATAATAGCAAATGCAGATGATATTTGGAAGACTAGGAACTTTTTAGAAGTGTCTTCTTGAAAAAAAAAAAAAACAATTTTTACTTCTCATAAAAGGTCACGCAGTGACCCTACAAATACTATTCCTATACGTGGAATTTCTTGATGGTGGAAAGTGGAAAAAACATTTTCCACTCTTATTTTCTGGAAACACGGCGTAGTTAATGAATTTATGGGGCTATTGATATTTCACAAATAGAGAAGCCTTGACTGTGCTCTGTTCTGTTATAAAGCACGCAGGAAGCGGCTTACACACGTAAATTACGGCGCCTGGTATGTTTACAAACCTTTGTTTGATTCTTCTGTTGCTACTTGCCGGCTCGCTTCAGTTTCGAAATTCCAATTATCGGAAAAAAGCTGAAAAGAAGTCCCGGAAAAGGTCGAACATAGTACAATTGGCAGATGGCGTGACAGATCTAGCTCAGCTCTATGCTCTATACTCTCATAGAGCACGCTCTTTCAACCAATGACAGCGCGCGTTATATGCGAACTTTCTTATAATTCCAAACAAATAAGGGGGGCAGAGTTTCCCGTCATTCGCGGCATTGTTACACTCGGAACTTGTACGTCAACAAGCAGGCGACATGTGACCTTAAAATCTCCTCTCCTGTTAAAGTTTCCTTATTGTAAACTGTGCGATAATGATAATAGACGATCAAAGTATAGGCTAATGAATGTTTTGTTCTGTACAAGAGCCCTATGTCCTGATTTTAGCAAATCTTCAAAGTAATAAACGACTGAAGAAAGAAACGCTACGATTTTTCCACTGATCTTCCGTCAACATGCATCTCTCTAAACGTGAAATTTGCCATTCCTACAAATTATCTCGAAAGTTTTTCACATTTTTCACCTTTCTTGAGCAATCATCTTGTATAAAGAGCTAAAAAATGTAGGTTTCTTTTGTCAAGTGACCGCCTAGAGCAAGAATTGCGTGACAGGTGTAGTTGAGAGAAACTTGTCACAGTAGCAGATTTTAAAAAGTATCCAAGGCAAAAATGCGATAGTGCCCAAAGATTTTTTTGATGATTTTCAGAGATGAAATGATGGGTTATAAAGGGTAATTAAGATTAGTGTTGTAGCTTTCTGGCAACGGGTGATATTTGACCTCAAAGTTGTCAAATATTTAGATGAATCAAAAAGTCTAAAAACACCATCGTATATTTGCCTCTGTTGATTGAAAAGCCGTCGATCAAACTGACTGATACTCGCGGCGGCCATTAATTAAGGATGTTAAAATATGTGTGCAAATCTTCAAAGGAATCGGTTTAATACCATCGCAGTGAGAGCTTCATACATTTTACCTATTTTAAGCAATTTCCTTGGTGAAAACCAAAGTTTCATTGAAATCGGTGAGATGGCATGTAGCACGACTGCCCGGTGCTCTCGTTGACACGCTCTGAAGTCACTATCTAGCTGTTTTAAAAAGAAGGATCAGGACTTACCTAACTTTTAGTGTTTTTGTTGGAGTTGTTGATCCTAATTTAAGTGTTCTAAGAAGTTTCAGTTGTCTGTAAAGCTAAATAAATCTAACTGAAACCTAATAGGGCCTGTTTATTCTTTTCCGTTTAGTTTTTTTGTATTGTTTTGTTTTGTCTTTTTTTTTTTCTTCTGGTCTGTAATGATTTCAATGGTTTCAGGTTCTTTTCTCAGAATTGAGCTACAGTAATAGTATGCTTCTTTGTGTTGTTGCCTACAGGAGCCACTGCTTGTGTTGAATTGAAGAGATTTGAAGAAGCAATCACTTGGTGTGATAAGGGACTAGCTGTATCCTTTGAAGGAATCTTTCGTTTTTCACCGTGGGTATAATGGAAAAAAGTTTCCATAATTTGATGTTTCAAGGGAGAAAATACAAAGAAGGGTATTAATTATGATGGGAACTTGTCAGCTCATATACTTTAAGTGTGTGTGTGATTAAAAACATAGGAGAAGTTATTACCTCATGGCTTATTAATGAAATTACTCCTTTTAGCCAATTTGACTTAGTTCTTCTATCCATGCCAATAACTGGTACATTAGTTTAAATAACCCTTTAATTTCCCAGACCAAATTTGTAATTATCCTTACTGTCAACCATACAATTCTTATAATGTTAGTACAGAGAATTCAGTATTGCATCAGCTAACTATTTTTAAATTGATATATCTTTTTTACTCTCAACACTTATCTGATTGATATTGTATTGCTATTGTGAGGAGAAATTCTCTTTTGGTCACTCACGGGAGTTAAAGGGTTAGAAGACTAAATTTTATCCAGTTTATACATCTTACTTGGGTAGATGATCTCTCTAAAATAAGCCAAAACAAAAAGCTCGGTAATGTTTACATATCTTATGCAGATTTTCTTGCCTTCGACCTTTTGCCACTACTTAGAGTCTCGGAAACTTTCGTTGTGCTTTCCTATGGACAAATAAAAATTTTAAAGACATGTATTTGTGTTATAGACTCATTTCTTCCACTGCTGTAAAACATTTGTCAGATATTAAAGCTATATTAATTTAAAAATTGAGCAAGTGCTGCTCAGTTTTTGGAAACTAGGGATTAAATCTAGATATTGCGCGTTAAATTTTGAGGCTGCACACAGAAAAAAAACATTTTTTGAAGTGTAGATTTACTTCATAACTGACTTTAAGACTGAATGTTGATAAATCCTCTACCTTTCATGCAAAGCCCTCCTAATGGGCCATTTTATAGTTGTGTACTTAGTTGCCACGTCTTTGATTTGGAGTGAGGCTGAAGGTGACCTTGTTGTGATAGAGACCAGTATCTAGAAACGATAATAACAAAGTAGTTTGCATTTAAAAGGCAGCAATGTTTTTATCATAACAAGATCACCCTTAATCATCGCTCTTGTTCAGAGGTTTGGGAACCAAGCACGCAAATGTTAAAATGGACTATTACATATCAATATGTTCAGAAACATAATCTTTTTTGTTTTTTCCACATTTGTAACCCTTAACATAAAAAAAGATTGACAAAAACAATAGGATCTTCTTGTCATTGAGACTTCAGTCTGTCAGTGAAGTGAGAGACAAATCCATGGAGGAAAAAGATCGTATTACTCATGACCACGGTAGTGCAAGTTCAGATGATGTCAAGAAAGTCATAGATCTCTATAATCGGGGAGAAAAAGCCATAGAGTACCAGAACCTACATCTAAAAAAAGCTAAAGAAGTAGGAGACAAGCATGGAGATGGTGAGGCTTATGGCAATCTTGGCAATGCTTATCACCGTCTGGGCGATTTCAAAAATGCCATAGAGTACCACGACCTACATCTTAAAATAGCTAAAGAAGTAGGAGACAAGCATGGGGAGGGTGTTGCTTATGGCAATCTTGGCAATGCTTATGACCGTCTGGGTGATTTCAAAATAGCCATAGAGTACCACAACCTAGATCTTAAAATAGCTAAGGAAGTAGGAGACAAGCATGGGGAGGGTAACGCTTATGGCAATCTTGGCAATGCTCATTTAAGTCTGGGCGATTTCAAAAAAGCCATAGAGTACCACAACCTACATCTTAAAATAGCTAAAGAAGTAGGAGACAAGCATGGGGAGGGTGTTGCTTATGGCAATCTTGGCAATGCTTATGACCGTCTGGTTGATTTCAAAAAAGCCATAGAGTACCACAACCTACATCTTAAAATAGCTAAAGAAGTAGGAGACAAGCATGGGGAGGGTAACGCTTATGGCAATCTTGGCAATCCTTATTTTAGTCTGGGTGATTTCAAAAAAGCCATAGAGTACTACAACCTACATCTTAAAATAGCTAAAGAAGTAGGAGACAAGCATGGGGAGGGTAACGCTTATGGCAATCTTGGCAATGCTTATCACCGTCTGGGTGATTTAAAAAAAGCCATAGAGTACCAAAACCTACATCTTAAAATAGCTAAAGAAGTAGGAGACAAGCATGGGGAGGGTGGTGCTTATGGCAATCATGGCAGTGCTTATCACCTTCTGGGTGATTTCAAAAAAGCCATAAAGTACCACAACCTACATCTTAAAATAGCTAAAGAAGTAGGAGACAAGCATGGGGAGGGTAACGCTTATGGCAATCTTGGCAATGCTTATTTTAGTCTGGGTGATTTAAAAAAAGCCATAGAGTACTACAACCTACATCTTAAAATAGCTAAAGAAGTAGGAGACAAGCATGGGGAGGGTAACGTTTATGGCAATCTTGGCAATGCTTATCACCGTCTGGGTGATTTCAAAAAAGCCATAGAGTACCTGAACCTACATCTTAAAATAGCTAAAGAATTAGGAGACAAGCATGGGGAGGGTAACGCTTATGGCAATCTTGGCAATGTTTATGGCCGTGTGGATGATTTCAAAAAAGCCCTAGAGTACCACAACCTACATCTTAAAATAGCTAAAAAAGTAGGAGACAAGCATGAGGAGGGTGGTGCTTATGGCAATCTTGGAAATGCTTATGACAATCTGGGTGATTTCAAAAAAGCCCTAGAGTACCACAACCTATATCTTAAAATAGCTAAAGAAGTAGGAGACAAGCATGGGGAGGGTAACGCTTATGGCAATCTTGGCAATGCTTATGACGGTCTGGGTGATTTCAAAAAAGCCATAGAGTACCACAACCTACATCTTAAAATAGCTAAAGAAGTAGGAGACAAGTATGGGGAGGGTGTTGCTTATGGCAATCTTGGCAATGCTTTTGACCGTCTGGGTGATTTCAAAAAAGCCTTAGAGTACCACAACCTACATCTTAAAATAGCTAAAGAAGTAGGAGACAAGCATGGGGAGGGTGTTGCGTATGGCAATCTTGGCAAAGCTTACTTTAGTCTGGGTGATTTCAAAAAAGCCTTAGAGTACCACAACCTACATCTTAAAATAGCTAAAGAAGTAGGAGACAAGCATGGGGAGGGTGCTGCTTATGGCAATCTTGGCAATGCTTATCTTAGTCTGGGTGATTTCGAAAAAGCCATAGAGTACCACAACCTAATTCTTAAAATAGCTAAAGAAGTAGGAGACAAGCATGGGGAGGGTAGTGCTTATGGCAATCTTGGCAATGCTTATTTTAGTCTGGGTGATTTCAAAAAAGCCATAGAGTACCACAACTTAGATCTTAAAATAGCTAAAGAAGTAGGAGACAAATTAGGATGGGTTTTTGAGTGGCAAGGTGGACTGCCAAAAGCCGTTGAACATTACCAAGCTAGCATAAACTTATTAAATTCCTTGAGAGTACTTCTAATATCTAAAGATGAGTGGAAAGTTAATTTTCGAAATCAGCATCAAGTGGCGTATACGGGTTTGTGGAGAGTTCTCGTAGAACAAGGTAATGTAGATGAGGCCTTATTTGATGCTGAGAAAGGACGAGCTCAAGCTCTGACCGACCTCATGGAATCCAGTTTTTGTGGTGGAACAAGTCACCACAAGGGAGAAGATGAAGATTGCGCAGTTTTAAAAAACGTTCCATCAAACACTGTCTTTCAGGCAGTGGACCATGTCTTTCAGGCAGTCTATCTTTGGGTTGTGTCCGAAGGAAAACAAGTTCAGTTAAGACAAAGTAAACTCAAAGGTTTTGTTTCAGAGAATAGTGGATCTAGCCTGTCCTTTGAGGTGTTCATGCTCGGTGTCTATACACAACTTGGTGTTCGTTCTAATGTGAGATGCGAGAATCGATCTTTAGATGCTTTGAGGGAGGGCTGTTCAAAAGTGGATGAGAAAACCAAAGAAGCCAAGCCTCAACCTCACATCCAACAAGACGGATGCTTGAGCACTTTGTATGATATCGTTATGAAGCCGGTGGCTGACTTGAGTGAAGGGGATGAGCTACTCATTATTCCTGATGGACCCCTGTGGATCGCTCCTTACGCTGCATTGAAGGATGGTTATTCTAAATACCTGTGTGAATCGTTCACAATCCGAGTCGCTCCATCGTTAGCAAGTCTTAGACTCATTGGCGATTGCCCAGATGATTATCACAAAAGCAGTGGTGCGTTACTTGTAGGAGATCCGTGGTTATCCGAGGTTACTAACAGCGAGGGAAAGAAAGTCTTCGAGCAGCTTGAGTATGCTAAAAAAGAAGTAGAAATGATCGGAAAAATTCTGAATATCACGCCAATCACTGGCAGTCAGGCCACGAAACGTGAGGTGTTGAAAAGACTCAGTTCCGTTTCCCTAGTTCACTTTGCGGCACACGGATGTATGGAAACTGGTGAAATTGCTCTTACACCTGACCCAGTCCGAATATCTACTGTGCCAACTGAGGAGGATTACATTTTAACAATTGGAGATGTGTTGAATGCACAACTTCGGGCCAAACTTGTTGTGCTTAGTTGCTGCCACAGCGGCCGGGGCGAGATCAAGGCTGAAGGTGTGGTTGGCATTGCGCGCGCTTTTATGGGGGCTGGTGCTCGGTCTATTGTGGTGTCCCTGTGGGCGATTGATGACGAGGCTACTCTTGAGTTCATGAAATACTTTTATCAACAACTTGCAGGAGGTAAACCAGCAAGCGAGTCACTGAACCTGGCCATGAAAAGCCTCAGAGAATCAGACAAGTTCTGCGACATCAAACACTGGGCGCCCTTTTTGCTGATTGGAGATGACGTCACTCTTGACTTCAAGGCAAAGGAAAGAGAAAATTTGAATATGAAATCACATAAATGAAAACTTTTTTATTTCATCTCAAAATGAATGACGCAGGAACTTGAAAGGTTTAAATGCTTCTCCATTTTGGCGCTTTTGGGCTATTTTTCATTACTTTTCACTTCTTTGTTAAATGGAACTTGAGATGTGTGACTTTACTTTGGTGAAGAAATAAAACAGACTATTTCAGTTATTTTGTTCAGTAGAATTGCTATTTTTTTTACCTTTACAAATTTAGATGCTTGCGAAGAGAACAAGATGCATCAAGGCTTCTGCTGTTAATGCCTGAAGTTGTTGAAGGCGACTACGAGGTTTTCGTTTCGCCAAAATGACACTCAGATCTATTCCTTTATTGCAATCAGTTATGTGTAAAATAATTTTTTTTCTTGTACACAACCAGGAGCTTGTCCACCGGGTTTTAATTACGTTGATACTCTAGGCTTTTGATAAGCAAAGAAACAGTTTTTCATTTGCAAAAGGTGGTGAAATTTTAATTTCAAAAATGTGATTTGTAAAATTCGCAGCCATATGTGAATTGATCTTAATGGTTTTTCTAAGTCATAAATTACTTTGTTGCAATTTGCAATTATCTTTACAAAAAAATTGATCATCATTTTCAACTTTTTTTCAATCCATTTTAATGCAATCTAATTCCATCAGTGCCAAGATTGCCATTCTAAGCTTAATTCGAAGAAGTAATCATCAGAGATGATGTTGTTGAATTTACTGACCATATGTTAGAGACATTAGACCTACTCTCACGGGTGTGGCCAGCCTCTAGTCCCGTGGGCCCGGCCTACAATTGTTTTCCGCCCGCTTGACTTTTCTAATATGACTCTTACAAATGTTGAAACAAAAATTGAAATTTCTCAGGAAAAAGGCCTACAACAAGTCAAAGAGCTGGCTACAACGGCCTGCTTTCAATCAAACGAGTTTGATCAATTTTAGTCCGTTTTATCAAACACTCATCAGTTTGTTTTAGAGAACGACGACAGAGACAAATTGTCCATGTAATCTAAACAAGGAAATAGCGAAGCAGAGTTTACTTTAACTAAAGTTTCCATTGCTGTGACTTTTAATGTAAGTGACATGGAATTTGTTGTTTTCATTAGGAAAATATTTACGCCAATAAATTAGGGAAACACTTGAAGTAAGCCATGTTGTCCTCAGTGGGAATTATTTTAGTGAAAATGTTCATGAATAAATGTAAATCTAGGCCGTAGTTAAAAAGGTTCAGGGCTTCAGGATAAAACTTGCATTTTTTTGAAATTTTGCTGTTCAAATTTTTTTCATGGCTTTAAATTTACTTTAGTATAATTTGGAGATGTCTGATGATATCTTTCTTAGATTTAAGAATTTATACTTAGGTATTCAGAGCACGCTTTGCAATTAGAACCTGTTATGTGGTCAAAAGTTTAAGGTATACTGTATCACAGCTGTTTTAAAAGAAAGTTTTGTAAAATCAATGTTAATTTTTGACAGATTTTCATAACTACCATTGGTATATGCTGATATAAAATGTAATAGTTAACCTTGCACATGGTTGAATATGATGTAACGTAGGATTTTAAAAACAAGCTGGGACAATTTCGACTAAACATTCTTTTTATAATGTCAGTGTATTTGGTGTGAATTGTTTTGATGCTATTTGTATTTAAAGTTGAAGCTATTTGTTCACTTACCTTAGTTTTTATGCATTAACTCATTAACTCCCAAGTTGTGAAGAAAAATTCTCCCAACTGATAAGAATGTGTTTCTTTGTTGCTTCATTCTGAGAATTCGATGAAACATAACGTTTCTAGTGAAAAATAATCCGCTAGTTTAGATTTTCTCTAATTCTTATTGACACCATGTTTGTCGGTGCATTAATTTTGCGAGGAGAATTTAAGTTATGATTAATCTTGGGAATAAATGGGTTCATTTTAGTGCCTCCGTTTAGCGTGTACTTTACTTAATGCCTTGAACATTTTAATGCAGTTTGTATTGTACTTTTTTTTCACTTTTTTGTGTAAGAGAAATAGAGAGTGTATAAACTACAAAAACTGCGTATGTTTTCATTGTCTGTCTCCATATTCTAAGGATTCGCGTGAGATGCAGGGAGAACAGATCCTACGGGGACTTCAATGCTTGTTTTGACCCGCGCGCGCCAAGTTGATAATCTTTGCAGCTGACAGTGTACTGACATTCCATGTTTCAAGCCCCCACCCACTTAACAAACGCTCGTCGACTCTTCGATTGTGTCTTTTTCACTGTCTACCGTTTTCCATATTGTCACACGATTTTGAATGCCGACGGACGTCTTCATACTGTTACCTGTGTGCGCCCTTGTTACCTTTTTACACCTTTTCACATTTGTGCATCAGTTTTTTCTCCTTCCTTTTGTTCCTTCCCTTTTTTTCATCGTACTTTTCCTTTATTCCCATTTTTACGCGCACTACTTTCATCGCCCTCAACTTTATTCTTCTACCCGCTTCATTAGACGCGACTATCTCCTTGTCTGTTTCAGTTTTCATTCGTCTCAATCCTCGCGCAACGTCAGGTCTCTTACAACTCATATACCTCCTTACTTCCCCAGAGTAGTTGTTATTATGCTTATTTTGTTCACTTTAGGATGGTGTCCTCTTGGCATCATGTCTAGTAAAATCTTAGTTTTCCTTTCGTCTCATTCCCAGTCCACAGGGGGTCTCAATTTTAAGTCTCACTTGCCAGTGTTTGCTCTCCTCGGTCCTCTCATCACAGTAGCAGCTATAAAACGAAAGAGCTCCCTCCAACATTTTGTTGGAAACGAGTCCTTCAATGTCCAAATTAAGGCTTCTTCTATCATCTGATTGGGAATGGATCAAACTCTCGCCCAGGGTCCACCTACATCGCGAGTCCAAGATAGTAGCAGGCCAATCCAAAGACTTCTCCGAGTCGGTAGCCGTCATCTTGGATGTAGACGCAGAGAGGACCTTGAAAAAGTGTTTTGACAAGACAATAATCAAGAAAGGTTAAGTTATTGTAATGCTTCCTAAGAGGTAGTCGATAACAGCCCGAAAGATTCATTAGGAGCAAACACGTTCCGTCGATTATTGGACTCCATGTCTCCTTATGTTGTAGAACAAACTCCTCGAATACGTACGCCTATATTCCCCTCTCCTCCTCCCCTAAATAGCACTATACATCCCTTTATTGCAACTTTTAAAATTATACAGCACAATACAACATTATACCCCTGAGTAGCACTGTAAATCCGTAAAATGAAGTAACTGTGCAGCGCATCACAACACTATGAACCCCTAAATAGTACTATGCTTCCCTCTACTGAATTTTTTTCACCATACAGCGCTCTATAAACTATTGCTCCAATTTGGCACGAAAATAATTGTGGATTTTTGTCCGCGGACATTATCTATTTCAAGATGCCAAAAATGTGAACTTCGAGGGGCAATGTCCAAGGACAAATATCCGAACATATTTTCGTACAAAATAGAGGCTGTTGTGATTTTTATCCCTGAATTATTTTGCAACGCTCATGAAAGAATCTTTATAAACAGCTCACTGAATTAAATTAAATTTGAAACGAAGACTTATCGAGGTAGACGTAAGGTTTGCGAATTGGGGAATATCGCTTGCGTGATATTCTCGGATATCACCCAGTATTAGCTGGGGGATATTTAGTCACTTGCTGCGTTTACACCAATTGCGCGCGAGCAAAAATATTTGATGGATCATAAAAAGCAACAAGCACCCCCAGATAGCACTATACTTCCCTCCTCCACAATTTACATCACAATACAGCGCTATAAAATAACATGTACCCTTAAATAGTACTATACTTCTCTCTTCTGCAGTTTACATCAATATACAGCGCTATACAACAATATGTACCCCTAGATACCACTATACTTCACTCTTCTGCACTCTACATCACGCTTCAGCGCTATACAAAAATACCTACCCCTAGATAGCATTATACTTCTCGCTTCTGCAGTTTACATTACCATACAGCTCTACACAACAATATTTACCCCTAAGTAACCTTGAGCGGCATAACAGAAAACATACATCGAAATTTTCCATGCTTTGTGTCTTTCTCCAAGGTTCATTAAATACTCGATGAAAACCTTTGCGTCGTTCAAAGAAAACGCAGCATTTTCCAGCGCAGTCGTGACTCGTTTGACGTGAAGACAAAGATGGCGAGTTGATTAAGGCTTTAAATTTCAAACTCTTAAAGGCGGGAAATATTTCTGAAACAAAATCATTCACGAACATCACTATTAATTCTGAATAATGTAAATTCGATTCACGTTTACTTCAAATAATAAATTTTACTCCCATTTTTCCAATCATATAAAGAAATCAATACACTAAGCAATGCCTTCAACAAAACACAGTTACACAGTTGTAAATCTCCATCCTCATCCTCAGTAGAACTATGCTATCACAAAGGTGGAATAATCGCGGAAGAATAACCGCGCTTAAGACCTTCCTATATACCAAGGAATTCGTGCCACTGGATTTGACATGTGCCAGTAACCTACTTTCACATTTAACGTGACGTTCAGCTAAGATCAGCCAACTGTTTCTTTTTTTCTTCATTTTAAACGATTCCAATCCTAATAGTGGTATCATATTTGCATAAGAAAGCTAATGTCAACTCGAGACTCTGCATTAATTTTTTTTGATAAAATGAAACAGAACAAACCAGAGATACCACGTACTTAAAACACTAACCGTTTAAACATGTTCTTCCACATGACGCTCTTAACGGGCTCAACGAGCTGCCAAAATTCTCTTCAAATCCGTTTTCGTTCGTGTGATAGCTTGACTTCTATTTCGATTTGACAGTTGAGTTCGACAGTTTGACTGTTAAACCTCAAATGAAGATTTGTAGACACCAGCTGAATAGATTTATGAATTTGCTTAACGGCGAATGAACGCATTGAAATCAAAATTGATTTTCTTTAAGCTCAGCTCACTGAACTACAAGTCTGCTGTCAGATGATTAACGTGGACGCTATTTTAGGCCCTTAAATTTCTCATTTCTCAATGCGTCAGCAATTGAAATTATATTCATGAAACAGGGACGCATTTTGTGACACAAATCTTGGCAATGACTGGTGTACGCCGCAAAGGTACAACGGACGATTACTGGTCATTCTGAGTTTTCGGTCATTGCTAACGTAGTACTTGTGGTCTTAAGCATGATCCTAAGCAGACCCTTGCAAAAGTTTCACCAAAACTGCAGAGACCTGGAGATTTTCGCTTAAACACACAACATTGGAGTAATATCAAGGTAAGAAAAAAAAAACTATTTTTGATTTTAATGAAGCCTTTTGAATTTTCTGAAACACACTTGCAAGTGCAACGAGTGCTGAATGTTCCCAATAAAGACGAAATAACCTTGGCTTTGCTCTCTAAAATAATGACTTAATATTTAGAAAGCAATCATATGATTTGAGTGATCAGTTCCGTGATGTTTACCCTGAAACGGCATTTAAAAAATTGAAAACCATTTCTAGCTTCCGCACAGAACTCATGTTGTGCTTCTTGTGTTGTTTCGCTGCTTGTCTGTCTTCGTCCTTTAAAATGATAAGTTTGTTTGGGACATTAGGATTAGTTTTTTTAGCAAAATAACTGGCCCAGCTATGACTGCCCTATTTACCAGACCAGGTAGGAATTCGCATTAGCTAATCTTTTTTATTTTTTTCTCAGTTTAACACAGAGAACTCTTACACCAAGGAACAAGTGGAAATGGTGGAAGGAATGTCTGGCACTTTAAGCTTCCAACCTGACCCAGCCTCACTCTCATTCTCTGAGGAGGTAAAGAATCTACAAAGCTTTAGAGGATCAGAACCTCTTTACCCAGAACAGTTTGTTGAAAACATCAAGCATGAGTATATGTGCTCAATTTGCAAAGAGGTACTTGATCAACCAGTCCAGAAAAATGTCGAACTCCACACATATTTTGTGCTAGTTGTTTATCATTTTCTTTTGAAATGTGTGGATCCCTTTGCCCAGTGTGCCGAACTGTCATTGTAAATCCTAATGAGTTCATTGAGCCAGCCCCTTTTGTTCTTCGCACCATACTTTCAGAGTTAGATTTTCGATGTCCTACCTGTAAACACACAGTAAAACTTCACCAACTACCTCAGCATCGAGAATGTTGCATTCAAAGCCCTACAACAGCACCCACACACATTTTAACCCCTTCACAAAGATCAGTTCCAGTGACACCATCCCTCCTTGCCCCAGTCAAACCCATACCTGCAGCAGAGGAAAAGGGACCAGCACTGGTAAATGTACCATCACTACAAGCAGAACCTACAACCACCACTGATACAAATACAACCTGCAGACAACAACTGACAGTTGATCAACTACTAACCAGTCCAAAGGAAGCTTATACATCCCTAAAGGAGGAAGTTGGATTGTTCATCATTAGACAGTTCCTTTCACAGTCTCAGGATGGGGCAACCATTCGACTCAAAACAGGTGGCCAGGTAATAAAATATTTTTTTAAGTTAAAAATTAAGACATTCATTTTCAAAGCAAAAGATAACAATTCATTTTCAGCCCTTAGAATTAGTGAAAAGGACCAGGGCAAGGAAAACAACTGATGAGGTAACAAGGAAAACTGCTAGACATAGATCAAAGGTAGTAGCAGAGACAAGGACAGCTGTCAGTGGTGGTGCAGCTGGTACCCAGTTGAAAGTTGAACTGTGTGCAATGGGCAGACTGGAGAGGGAGGCACTACTGAAGGAGGCTTTGGGAAAGGAATTTAAAATCACCATTCCAAGAGGTGACACCCTGGCAATGAAAGCAGACCTTGGCGAGACATGGTACAAAGTTAGAAAGCTTAGGAGGTAAGAAAAACATGAACAAAAAAAATCATTAAAAACCCCAAAGATTTTCCAAAGACATTAGATATCAGTAACACTAACTGTTTTGATTTTGTATTCAAATTTGCCAACTGCCTGAATACTCTAAATCTGCTTACAAAATTATGATAACTATTATGTCTCTACAGATGGTTTGATCAATGGGGACTATCCTCAGAGAGTGAAATAAGCCAACGAAAGCAAGTTCAGTCCATCACTGACCCTGCCAACTTGGTTTGTGAAATGGTCCCATTTGAATTTAAAAAAACAGGTTGCCATCCAGAGGTCAGGGAAGCAGAGTTTGGTTATGTTACTGACCTGAACCAATTCATACATCTTCATCTGAGTGAAAATGAAAAGTATGATAAGTTAAAAAAAAAGTAATTGCAATCACTAGATAAACAATGAAAATTAAACAAAGTTAGCTGTTGCCTATTGCTGTGAATTATAGTCTAATTAGAGTTGATTATCATTTTAGGAATGGAAGGCTGACATGGAACAATGCAATCCCAGAAAATGAAGTGCAATTAAAACTTGGAGGAGATGCTGGTGGTGGGTCATTTAAAATAGCCTTCCAGATTGCTAACCTGAGGCATCCAAATTCTAAAATCAACACAGTGTTCTTTGCCATGTTCCATGCAAAAGATAGTTGGGCTAATTTAAAGACAGCCCTAATGAAATATAAAGAACAAGTCAACACCTTGAAAGAAGCAACCTGGGCGTAAGTAAAAAAAAAATGTACTACACTTTTAGTAAGTCAGGAGAATAGAGACTTGAAATAGCATAATATTAATTAAATTTTTATTTTTGTTTTGCCCATTTCTAGAGGTAAAAATAAAGTGGTTTTCCTCTTTGGTGACTATGAGTTCCTATGCAAGCTATTTGGAATAGCTGGTGCCTCAGGTATGATCTAGACAATAATTCACATATACAAATAATTATGATTTAGCAATTCAATAAAAGAATATAAAATGTAGCCTCTACTCTACATAACTATTTCTGTGAAACAGGTTTCCACCATGAGAATTGTATTTGCAGGCAAATATCCACGTCTTTGGTGCAAGATAAATCATGAAGTAACGCAAGTCTCTTGCCATAAACATGGGCATGCTGAAAAACGAAGTCTTGAAAACATTCAAGAGGGTTATGATAAGTTTGTAGCAGATGGCTCTGTTACAAGTCAACAGAAGTTTTATCACAATGTGATTCACGAGAAACTGTTGGACATTGAATTTGACAAAGTAAGATACAAGAGTTTATTTTATTGCTTTGAAGAGGGACTTACAGGACACCTTACTAAATGGTTGTCTATTTCAGGTTTGTGTTCCTGGACTTCACATTAGCTTGGGTGTGTTTAAGGAACTGTTCGACAAACTAGAGAACCAGTGCTTTGAGCTGGACAAAAAAATTCAAATGGTGCTAGCAGGAGACAGTGAAGAGAATGATGAAAAAATTCCAGGCATTCAGAGCTGCCCAACTACATACCAGACAAGCACAACAAATGTTAATATGCTAATGTTAATATCATGCCTGCCTACTTTACACTACTACAGGAGGAGATAGACAAACTCCTTGGAAATGCAAGGGAGGAGGTAACAATAATATATTTGTGCTTTCCAGTATCAAAGCTGTACAATCCTCCAAATCCATTTCACATGTTTCAAACCCATCTTAATTTTTTAGTTAAAGAAGTTATGATTTTATTTTTTAGATTATTTATTTGTAATATTACACTAGCTCAAATTATAGCAACTAAGCAGTAAGTCAAATAACCCAGATTTAAATAGTATTATCTCAACATTATAGGAAAAGATTGCAGATGAACAAATGGAATTGGCTGCCTTTGAGAAAGCCAATGGACCTTTATCAGTTCATTTGGATGAGGTTCTCAAGAAAATGAATGTCGAGAGACAAGCTTATCATGGAAAATCATTCATTGGTAACCATGTACACACTTGCTGCAAGGTAACACAAATTCTACCCTTAGAGTAGGAATTTGTTGAGTCACAAAATTTCATTGAATTGTTGCATTTGTTTTTTAGGTAGGAAGACAACATCATTAAACTATGCAGTGCTGTGGTGAAAAAAACAGGAGCTGTGTCCTTCCCTCCTTTCTCAAGCAAGAGAAATTAGCGTGAAATTTGAACAAGTTTTTAAGTTATTTGCTGCTTGCCACTTTGTCTATGACAGTGCAGATTATCTCAATGATGGCAAGATTGATAAGCTAGGTAACTAAAGGAAAAAACTCGACTTTCATGGAAAAACATGAATACAGTAATAAGATCATGTCTTAAGTCCACCTTTTCTTGTTTTCTTGTTGCATAGGAAGACATCACAAATTTTCTTCGATTCCTTAGGGAAAAATTCCCATACATGACTATCACACCAAAGCTGCATATGCTAGAAGAACATGTTTGCCCTTTTCTTCGACAATGGCACATGGGCCTTGGATTCTACGGTGAACAAGGGATTGAAGGAATACACTCTGAATTCAATACCCAGTCCCAGCATTTTGACCATGTGAAGAAAAAGGACACGAGATTGCGTCAAATCCTTGTCAACCACCACATTGCCACGAGTCCGGAACTTGCAGGGAAAGCTCCCAAACCTAGAGAAAGAAATTTAAAACGAAAAGCGAACGAGTAAAACTCTTTCCTTTTCAATAGCAATGTATCGGTTCGTTGACTAAGAACGAGTACTATGTGTGTAAATATGGTATAATCTATTTGCTCAACTTCTAATTTAGACGAATAAAAGAGTTACCACAATCTTTGGAACCAAAACTAAAGCTTTGCAGTCGTTTACAGACTGTTTCGCTTGAAATTCAGTACTTCCGAGATTCAAAATGGAGTCGCATGACGGCCGATCTTAACATATTAAGAGCGCCTCGAATGGAGTCTCAAACAATTCGGATTAAAACACTTACCTCTGTCAGTTGTGCAGTAAGGTTTTAAGTCTTCTCTTTTGACTCTTGCTTTGCTGGAAAAAATTCGAGCCTTTTCCAAATTGAAATCAAAGTTTTCCGTTGATTTAATAGGGTGTGCTTGTTAGACTCCACCATAGCAACGTGTTTTCGTCGAACACAGGCAAAATTTGACCGATTTTACTCAAATTTTCGACGGCAAGTGCTTCTTTCATGTGTAACCAGCCGCCATGCTAACTTTCACTCGCATACATTAGATACGTAGCAAGATTTCATTGGCTAAACTATATATTAGCCTAAGGGGTTGCCATGGACGCTAGATTTATGCAAATGCATAATTTTGTATTAACCAGAGAAGTAATAATTAACTCGATGTTTCCTGTAGACCGCATGCGCGAACTAAATTTCCACCGCGATCTTCATCTTGGGTCATAATTTTTTTCCTCGATAGTAAGTTAAATTCTCAAAAGTTTAGCTGTAGGATTTCTAATTTACACCTATGGGCGGCCGTCACCGCCAAAAAGACAAAAATATAATTGGTTGGTAATTAGTCTAATTGTCTTTTGGAGAACGCTTGATCTTATCTTAAGAGATTTATTTAAAATACAAATGGACAAGTCGCCTTTGGTGAAATGAAATATTCAAACAAAAATGTTTATACAATTCAGGAGCTGTGTAGCCAACCTTGTTGAACTGATTCAAGAAAAACACGAGTGGCCAAGTGTTAACTGAAATGGTTCAGTGTCGAAATGACAAACGGTTCAGCTAACTGTACTTTAGTGACTTGACACAAACGGTTCAAAGTAGTGTGAAATGGCTTAAGTTATCGGCAAATGGTTAATCGTAAGCCGCAATGGTTTAGTATCGAATCAATATTCTCACCGTAAAGTGAAATGGTTTAGCGTGACCTCAAATGCTTTAGTACAAACCGAAATGGTTTAGTGTTACAACAGTTGGTTTACGCCGTTACCGCCAAAAATACAAAGGGAAATGGGTAAGTCAAGCTTGAAATGAAACAGTCTATGTGGGGTCTGAAGTCACAAACTACGTCATTCAGATCAAATTTGGCGCGAAATTCGCCAGAACGAGGTATTCGCCAGGCCGTCCACTAGATGTTCACCACAGGAAAAAATTATTTATGTAGCCTCGTCGTCCTTGTCCACTGGACTCAAAGAGCCTCACTCCGGTAATAACCTTTTTCACATTTGTCTATTTTAGCTTGTTAGCGAATAAATTTATACCCTCATCATCTTGCCGCAATATCAGTAAGTAAATGATATTTCGGAACAAAAGGAATAACAAAAATACAGATAAAATGCATCATTTTACGCGACAGCACATTTACCGTCTAGACAGTAAGAACCATAGCTGGGAAACGTGATAAAGCGATTCATGGTTTTAAGACGACGAAACTACAACTAAAGGGCGCCTAAAAACTATATAGTTTTTATAGTTTTGAGGCGCCCTTGAGATTCTTATCCTATTCAATTTCAAGCTTGACTTTTCCATTTCACTTTTGTATTTTTGGCGGTTACGGCGTAAACCTACTGCACCAACCGCTGTAACACGAAACCATTTCGGTTTGTAGGAAACCATTTGTCGTCACGCTAAACCATTTGGGGTCACGCTAAACCATTTGGGGTCACGCAAAACCATTTCACTTTACGGTGAGTAGATTGATGCGATACTAAACCATTGCGGCTACGATTAACCATTTGCCAATAACCTAGGCCATTTCACACCACTCTCAACCGTTTTTGTCAACTTACTGAACCAAAGTACAGTTAGCTGAACCGTTTGTCATTTCGACACTGAACCATTTCAGGTAACACTCGGCCAGTCATGTTTTTTATTGAATCAGTTCAACAAGGGTGGCTACACAGCTCCTCAATTGTATAAAACCATTTTTTGTTTGAATATTTCATTTCACCAAATGCGACTTGTCCATTTGTATTTTAAATAAATCTCTTAGGATAAGATAAATCGTTATCCAAAAGACAATTAGACTCTATTTGTTAATTACAAACCAATTCTGTTTTTGTATTTTTGGCGGTGACAGCTGCCCATATGTGGGCTCTTCTTTCAATTTCAGTTGAAGCATTTCCGGCTTCAAGCTTGCACAGATTTATGGGCCAAGGAACTTTCTGTTTCATTTTCACAACGCACCGTTGCGATTTTCCGTTCCATGACATAGCTTTCGAGTCTTTCTCAGTACTTTCTCTGTCTTAGTGACTTTGAAACATTTTCATGACGAACTGAGGAAGTAAGGTCGTAAAATAGTCAAAGGTGCCTTCCATCTCCGCGACAGAGGTAAGAACGCATGGTTGTATCAGATTTTTGAGTGTAAGTTAAATACTTTTATTTTAAATTTTTTTAGTTGAGATTTCCTCCTTCAAATGTTCCTCATCTTTCCGAACTTTCTCTAATTTCCGACAATGAAAGACGTTCCTGCAGTTAAGTGACGACAATTGCCAACTTTTACTTTATTCTGGCGTGTATTAATTGTATTGCTGCTTCGTGTTAGCTACAAGCTTGTTTGAACAAGTTACAGCTGTCGAATTCACAAAAATTCGCAAGCAATGCCTGGCATTTACCTTGGACAAAATAAGTAATTCGGAAGAGTTACAAAGGATATCCAAATTATCGATTTGATTCAGTGCAAACCCTTTTGATCGCAACACTTTCAGTTTCGTTTGCGTGTCATGCGGAGCATGTACACAATCGTGTTTGGCACTAGCTTTCATGTCGGGCTTATGTACGTATTAACTTAATTTGCTCCCGTATTTACGATGCAATTGATCAAAAAGCGATAAACATTTTCAGCGTATTTCATCTGTTTATGTTTATCATTTTATACTGTAGTTTGAAAGTGATTTTTTCTTTTCGATAGACAGCTTAGGTTGTCCTTCCAAACTGTACTGTTATACTGATTTCCTTGTTAAATATTGAGAAAAGTTGATTTTTCTTCAAATTCAGCTAGTTATTTACTGCAATAGTCCTTTCAATTAACTGCACTCGAGTTTTAGGAATCCAATTCATCAACTGGTAATGATTGATTAGTGTCTGAGTGAAGTTTTACCTTTTGTCATCTGCTAATCAGCATATGATCAATCAATAATCATATCAACTGAATGTTTCCGATCAATTTTTTTTTTTTCAAAACTGGTTTAGTTCTGCATGAGGCTGCATGCATCCAAATATGTGTTTGTTGATAATTTATGTTGTTATATGGCAAGGTAGTCTTGGGATAAATGTAAAGTTCTGATTGGTTCTTACTTGGTCAGGATTTTGCCACATAGACCATCATTGCACCATACAGAAAATCATAAAACATGTAAATTCATTGTAAACTAGTTTAGTCCAAGTGACATTGGTGCATGACAATTACCTTGCTCTCTTGAAGGGTACTGGGGGCTAATGGCACCATGTCATTCCTATACTGTTACAACCTTGGGCCAATATACCTCTGTAAAGCCCTGGCAATCAGCTGGTTATATAGAAGTTTGTAGTGGTTTTTGTAAAAGCAATATACACTTACAATTTTTTGCAAAGACAATGTAAATATAGAATAATTGCAAAAACAATTAGTTAAATATACCTATACTAATAAAGCAAAAATGTCAGCACCTGTACCAAATTGAAATCCATTTCAACATACATCAGCATGCATAAATGTAAATATTTGACTGTTTTTCCTGTGATAAAGTGAAACAGTTGAACTAACAATCACCTATAAAAATATGGGCATCAGCTCAACTGAAGGAAATTGAATAAATAAAATACATCTTTTATAAGTTTTGACCAGTAATCCCTATTTAAAAATCAAATATGAAAATTTTGCTTTGGTGTTGTAAAATTTGTTTCTTATGAGAAACGATTCAGCATAAACTCTCTCCTCTTGCGGAGACATGGTGGTCTTATGATTAGTGAGGTGGACGCATGGTCAAGAGGTCTGCATTTGTAGCCTGGCCTGTGCTGGACTCAGGGTCAAGAAGTCTGGGTTCCAGTCGATGTGTTGTGTTCTTGTGCAAAACACTTTACTCTTACAGTGTCTCTCTCCACCCAGGAGTATAAATGGGTAGCAAAAATTAGGGTTAGCTTAGGGTTAGGGAAGGGAAATTTGCAAATTAAAATGCAAGGGGGGTGAAAGGGGGGGGGGGGGGAGGGATAATGGTGGAATGGACTTGCATCCTGTCCAGGGTTGGGTAGTAATACTCCCAATTGCTTCATGTAAGGAAACCAGGATTAATTAAAGCTCAGGCCCTGTACGGGCCACTTTTCAAATCCAGATGTGACCTAACTACCTACCACCTCTTAGTTTAAATGATTTAAATTGCTACTGTTACAAATTATATAAACTTGAAACACACAGATGTTGATTTTTGCCCAATTTATTTCAGTCAATTGCATAGGAATGTCTTTGGTAAATCTTGAAATTTATTGTAATGAGAAGTGAATTAATGCTTGTTTTCTTCAGTACATATATCTTTTGTTCTTTCACTGCTTTAAATATGCTATTGATATTAATTCCTTGTGATTTAGTGTCTATGTATCCCTCCCATTCTCAGGAGGGAAAAAATAATTAGTTTACAATTGGGTAATATGTTGAACTAATTTTTTTACCATTTGCAACCATCTTTTTTTTCAGGCCAGGATGACTTAAAACAGCAACTTTTTGAAAGAAGCATCCCCTTACAGTTGCTATGGCTAAAGAAAGAAGTCCAATTAAGGTTCCATCTGAAAATGAAGACTTACCTGACAAAGAAAATGCTCTAGTTTTTGATGAGGACACTTTACGAGGTGAGCTAGGTTCAACTTTGGCTTCAGTCACTGTTAAAACATTTTCTATTCCACCAGTTTCAATAATGTAAGCAGATGTGGAGAATGATATTAATACACTGCATGACCACCTTAAAGGATATTTGGCCAGTCATGACTCTCTTCTATGATTACAATATGCTGTTCATTGACTGAGAGGATCCATGACATATTTTTAATTTTCTTTTCTCAAATTTCAAAGCAAGCACACAAAGTTATAATAAGTAAAGACTTTATTTGATCATCATATAACATTCATTTTGTAAGTTTGCATCATAAGTACCATCATCATCATCATCATCTTTCATTATATTATGCAACATTAAATTGAAAGTTTCAACTTCCCCTAAGCAACCAATTTCCAGTAGAGTGCAAGTGTTATATCATTGAATATGGGGGTGTTTAACCCTTGACACCCTAACATCAGTATCCATATTCTCCATACTATTCTTTGTATGTTTCTTGTGGTACTGAAAAAGAGAATTCATTTGAAGATCAATGCTTCTTAGGTTGGTGATCATTTCCTTTATTCTCATGAGCTTAGTGAATGATTCAGCAGTATTACTCCAAGCTTTTCAGGGGATGGGTCAAGTCAGGCAGGTGCAAAAGTGGCAGCTGGCACTAAGGGAAAAATCTGCAGATTTTAAATCTCCAGATCTTGGCAGCTCTGTTTATGCACTAATTAACTACAACCACAGGTAATTATTAACTACAACCAAAGAATTCTTTTTTCTTTTTTCTTTGCAGCTACAGCTGATGTTTATAGAAATTTGGGTAATGAGGCCTTCAAGAAAGGAGATTTCATCAATGCTATTCATTTTTACACCAAAGGAATTAAAATGAACTGCAATGAGAAAGAACTGAAGGCCAAACTGCACAACAACAGGGCTATTGCACATTTTAAACTTGGTAAGATGATGAGAGCTTTAATATGCATTTTTTTTCTATTTTGAAGCTATTGAGTTGTCAGTAGTAGTTTTCTGAAAAGGTGATAATTTTGAATGCATGCCCGGAAAAATTTACATCTTAATTATCTTGGCCTCTCAAATATACAAAGAAGTAACCTCTTACCCCAGATATCAACGAGCATCACAAGTTTTTCCCAAAATTATAGTAATGGTAGTTGGTTTGCAACATGTATGGCTAATCAGAGATGTTTATTTCAATAACAGGAAATCACCAGGATTCACTAAGGGATGCAGAAGCAGCCATTGAGTTAAATCCAACTTTCCTTAAGGCAATTGTGAGAGGTTAGATATGTTAGCTGTGCTATAATAATAATAACAAAAGAACTCAACACTCTAAGGTTAAATGAGGTTAAATGGAGTTCAATCTTGTCTCAATTGACTTTAATTAAGAGGTCGAGACCACCCTGATGTACATTTGAATCCAGCTCTTGACTGCTACGCCATTACTTTCCATTAATCATGATAAGAATATTATTTTTAACGGGATGAAGAATTCAATGCGGAATGCAAAGAAAAATTTCAGCATGAATATTTTAGTTCCTTAAGTCCAATGAGTCACAGGTGTCAGATATGTTAAGAGCGTGTCCACGAGAGCACCGGGCAGTCGTGCTACAAGCCATCTCACCGATTTCAATGAAACTTTGGCAGTTTAAAGGGTCTACCCCAAAACTCAAAGAGACAAACTGGTTTCTGTCTTGGTTCTTCCAGGGGGAGATAGACCACCCCCGGTTTTTCTTGGTTTTCACCAAGGAAATCGCTTCAAATAGGTAAAATGTATGAAGCTCTCACGGCGATGGTCTCTAACCGATTACTTTGAGGATTTGCACACATATTTTTACATCCTTAGTTAATGTCTGCTGCGAGTATCATTCAGTTTGATTAACGGCTTGTCAATCAATAGAGGCAAATATACGAGTTTGGTTTTAGACTTTTCGATTCATCCAAATATTTGACAACTTTGAGGTCAAATATCTCCCGTTGCCAGAAAGGTACAACACTAATCCTAATTCCCCTTTATAACCCATTATTTCATCTCTGAAAATCATCAAAAAAATCTTCGGGCACTACCGTATTTTTGTCTTGGATGCCTTTTAAAATCTGCGACTGTGACAAGTTTCTCTTAACTACACCTGTCACGCAATTCTTGCTCTAGGCGGTCACTTGACAAAATAAACCTACCTTTTTTAGCTCTTTATACAAGATGATTGATCAAGAAAGGTGAAAAATGTGAAAAATTTTCGAGATTTTTTGTAGGAATAGAAAATTTCACGTTTAGAGAGATGCATGTAAACGAAAAATCAATGGCAAAATCGTAGCGTTTCTTTCTTCAGTCGTTTATTACTTTATTACTTTTTATTACAACTTCGGCTTTTACGAACAAGAAGTTATTTTGAAAAGCATTTCACTATAAAAAATTGCGATAAAACATTTCTTAAAATCATTTTTAACATTTTCGGCGTTTCTTTCTTCAGTCGTTTATTACTTTATTACTTTTTATTACAACTTCGGCTTTTACGAACAAGAAGTGATTTTGAAGAGCATTTCACTATAAAAAATTGCGATAAAACATGTCTTAAAATCATTTCTAACATTTTCGGCTTTTACAGACGAGAAATTCTGCGCTCTCGCTCGAGAGCAAATATCAATAGTTCTATCGGACTAAAAACTGTGCCTCTATCCCGAAAAAGAAATTAAAATAGTGTTGTCGTTGTCACTTACCGCCATCGAACATTTCCATGCAGAACTCCGGTAAGCTAACATCTGTTGTGTGACCCGAAGACTCTTAGTAGGAATTATTCAAGCGCGTTGTTCATGCTGTCTGTTAGATAACAATTTCAGAATAATCTGCAGATCTCTATGATTATTTGCCTGCTTCGATCGTAAAATATCTGCATATTTTTTTCAAGCATTTTATTACTACACATCAATCTACGTCTCTCTAGATCGAGTGTTGCCGGCGTTTAATTGCGTGACTTGTAAAATTTTTAAACAAGAATCTGAGCCAGTGATAATTTGACGAGTAGCCTTCCTGCAAATTTCCCTTGATGAAATCCCAAGACATAGCCAGTTGTTTTCGTGAGCAAAGACAATAAACACGAGAGAAAAGTGAGATGCAAATGTCTTCTTTTTTTTTAGCTTAATAGCAGCTTTACCCTCTCCTGCAGTCTTCGTCTAAATTTTGCAAGGTCTCTCCTTATTTTCTGCCTTGTTCGGTCAGTTTCGAATTCTGAAGCTAGATCATTGGCATCGGCCTCTCCGTCCTTATTCATATTTACAGAGGGGGACCTCATCAATAAACCAATTTTTGTTACGGCAGATAACCGGCTGAAGTATCGAGCGATTTGCTGCTGTATCAACCGGTCAGTCTTAGACAACATTTCTGGCTGGTGTCGTCTCTTAAACTCGATATTTGGGAAATCACATTAGAGGCGGTTGCCTTACTAGTTTCCTCCCTTGTCCAGCACACGTCTAGGAGATAATTCTCTGCTTTCTGAGAAAAGGTGGCTGTTTTTTGTGTTTTCCAAAGAGCCCATCCCAAGTCCTCTTGGCTAGTTAGGGATTGTTCGTCAGAATTTTTACCTGAGGTCCGACCTGGAACGTAGCCATCCCCTATAGAATGGCAAGCCGGTCTTAGTCCATTTCCTCTTGATCTTATCCTAGGCGGAATTTTTTTTAGTCGGCCTCACTGTGTTTGTCTTTGTCAGGGTACATTTGGATGGCAGCCAATGACTGAAACGTCTTGATACATCCTTCTTTTGGCAAGAATATCTCGCTTTCTTGTTCCGTCTATGACGGATTGCGTATAGCTCTCTTGATGACCCGCGTTCAGAAATCTGTGCAAGTTGCTGATAACCACCCGCTTCTACGATAAGTTTGCTGAAGGTTTCTAATGTCACGAGCCTAGTGAGACCCTGAGGTGCTTCAAAGTGTGCCAGTTGGTCTGCGCTATAATCTTGTCGCAGTTCTTAAGTCAGAGGGAGGATCGCCCACCTCTATCTATGTGAGCGCCTCTACAGTACCTGCATATCCCTAGCAATCATATGATATAAAGTTTATCTCAGTCACAAATCACCAGTTAGGAAAACTGATGTTCATATAAGCGCTGTTCTTGCCCTTCTTCGTTATTCATTGCCGACTCTAAGATAGCAGCTACAGTAGGCGTTCTATTTAGGTTTACAGTCACCTTGCCGCCACCAGGAAGACTCGCCACCAGCTTTGATTTCTTCTGCCATCTGCAGATTCATCTCTCTCTCACTTTATGTCTCCGATTTTTATGAGGAGGATACTGGCATTTACGAACCCGAAGGTCTGAATCTCACACCAAGTTGTGCACGATATTTCAGGTACATCGTGAAATCGCGGCCTTCGTAATCTTCAAATAAGCCAATACGCGCTAGAATAAGCTCCATCTCGGACGAAACGCATGTTTGGGATACATCGACGTCTCTCAAATGTTTTTTTAAAGCTGTATACCCACGAATTTAGAGGTATGAGCTGTTGCCGTCCCTGGCCAGCGCGAGAAAAATAACATTTGGTTCTACAGTTAGTTGCAAATGAACAAGACAACTGCACCATCTTGACTTTATCAATTCGAGTGTTAGTTGAATTGAGGGCTTTTTAGACACTCGATTTCTTATATGACATCACCATGAAGTCGTAATACAACTGATACACCTACACTACATAGGATTAACAATGTCTGTTGCGCTGTTACGAGAAGGAGGAAAATGTTACCGGAAGTGTAAACTCTTTTTAAAAAGAGTTTCAGAGACGTTTCTGAGATGTCTATCTTTGATCGGCTGTCACAAAAAAATGACACCCACTTAAATTTACTAGGAAAAATGACCTTACCAACTCCTTGTTGAAAAAATTGGAATTCATTTGACCGATACGCCGGTTGTTTCAATTTTTCTTTTTCCTCGGGCTGCTATGAAACAGTTCATAAATTGACTAATGAATAAAGTGTTTTGAAATACCGTTCGGGATTTGCCTTTTTTTTCTGCGTGCAAATGAAGGGTAGACAAAGTTTTTAAAACATTTGACTAGAATTTCATAGAGTTCACCTCGATATATTTCGTCGGCCAGAGTCAAGACGCGCCAAGCTAAGCGAGATCGCCTTCCAGTAAAAAATTTTCCAAAGAATAAACGTGGCGAGCGTGAGGAAACGCAAATTTTTTTCATCATTGTGATCAAAGCTCAATGATGTACCTAAATTGGTACTTACGGTATCAAACCATTGATTATGACAGGGTGAGCTTAGTTTTTCTGTCGAGGTCGACGTGACTTCACATTAAAAGCATTTTTGACGGAACAAACTAGTGAGCATCACTGCACGAACTGAGAAAGTAAAAACTTGTATTTATCTCCCACGCGTTTCGTCTGACAATAGTAGACTTCATTAAATATTTTTTCAAGTAGGGTAAATAAGCTTGCTCATATACAAGTAGTAAATAAGTTGTGTCTTTACTATTGAAGTCAGTGGATAGAATACGCCAGGTGCGCCTACGGTGTTATACATGCGTGACATTTTCCGGAAGTTACACGTACGAGTACGTGATCCGTTTAAGGGTCACAGATTTAGTGTAAATTTTTCACTCCTCAACATCACCCAATGTCTCTAGTTTACAGAGGTCTTAGAACGTTTCATTATATCGAGTTGCCTTCTGCGGGTAGAAGGCTACAAGCGAATTTCTTAGGCGTAATTGCCTTTGATTTCTCAATTGATGTTGTCCCAAACACAGTTTTTGGGAGTCACGAGACAAAAAAAAACTTATCAGGACCTAGTTTCATGTTCTAATGGAAATAGATAGCAAATAAAAACACATTTTCTTGAGAAATAAAGTCGCAAATGACGGGGGTTCTCTGAAACAAATAGTGAAAGAAAAGGATTTCAGTTCTGGTCAATATTGACTTTTCATGGCCTACTTCCAAATCTGAGGGAACGTGCTGAGGGAATAAAAAAAACATAAATGTGTGATAATGCAAGCAAGAGAATGAAAATAGAAATAAAGAAAAAGGAGAAAACATAGGAACCCGTGTTGCAGCGTGCAGATATCTTTTGAACCAGACCTACACACATAAGCCCGACACCAGCCAGAGAAACTCGAAAGAGTCCTGTATATGAACTAGCTCGCACGTGTACGCAGGAAAGGCCATAACACTCAGCGAAAATAATAGCAAATGCAGATGATATTTGCAGTCAAAAAACAGGAAAATAAGATAACAGAAGGATTAGGAACTTTTTAGAAGTGCCTTCTTGAAAAAAAAAGATGAACAATTTTTACTTCTAATAAATGGTCACGCAGTGACCCTACAAATACTATTCCTATACGTGGAATTTCTTGATGGTGGAAAGTGGAAAAAACATTTTCCAGTCTTATTCTCTGGAAACACGGTGTAGTTAATGAATTTATGGGGCTATTGATATTTCCTAACAAAAAAGGGGGGCAGAGTTTCCCGTCATTCGCGGTATGGAAAAGCCGAAGTTGTTACACTCGGGAACTTGTACGTCAACAAGCAGGCGACATGTGACTTTAAAATCTCCTCTCCTGTTACAGTTTCCTTATTGTAAACTGTGCGATAATGAAAATAGACGATCAGAGTATAGGCTAATGAATGTTTTGTTCTGCACAAGAGCCCTATGTCCTGATTTTAGCAAATCTTCAAAGTAATAAGCGACTGAAGAAAGAAACGCTACAATTTTCATATTGATTTTCCGTCAACATGCATCTCTCTAAACGTGAAAGTTTCCATTCCTACAAAAAATCTCTAAAGTTTTACACATTTTTCACCTTTCTTGACCAATCATCTTGTATAAAGAGCTAAAAAATTTAGGTTTATTTTGTCAAGTGACCGCCTAGAGCAAGAATTGCGTGACAAGTGTAGTTGAGAGAAACTTGTCACAGTCGCAGATTTTAAAAGGCATCCAACACAAAAATACGGTAGTGCCCAAAGATTTTTTTGATGATTTTCAGCGATGAAATGATGGGTTATAAAGGGTAATTAAGATTAGTGTTGTAGCTTTCTGGCAACGGGAGATATTTGACCTCAAAGTTGTCAAATATTTGGATGAATCGAAAAGTCTAAAAACACAGTCGTATATTTGTCTCTGTTGATTGACAAGCCGTTGATCAAACTGACTGATACTCGCGGCGGCCATTAACTAAGGATGTAAAAATATGTGTGCAAATCCTCAAAGTAATCGGTTAAATACCAACGCAGCAGAGCTTCATATATTTTACCTATTTGAAGCGATTTCCTTGGTGAAAACCAAGATAAACCGGGGGGTGGTCCATCTCCCCCCGGAAAAACCAAAACAGAAACCAGTCTGTTTTTTTTAGTTTTGGGGTAGACCCTTTAAACTGACAAAGTTTCATTGAAATCGGTGAGATGACATGTAGCACGACTTCCCAGTGCTCTCGTGGACACGCTCTTAAGTCACTATCTAGCTGTTTTAAAAAGAAGGATCAGGACTTACCTAAGTTTTAGTGTTTTTGTGGGAGTTGTTGATCCTAATTTAAGTGTTCTTAGAAGTTTCAGTTGTCTGTAAAGCTAAATAAATGTAACTGAAACCTAATAGGAACTGTTTATTCTTTTCCGTTTAGTTTTTTTGTATTGCTTTGTTTTGTATTTTTTTTTCTCCTGGTCTGTAATGATTTCAATGGTTTCAGGTTCTTTTCTCAGAATTGAGCTACAGTAATAGTATGCTTCTTTGTGTTGTTGCCTACAGCAGCCACTGCTTGTGTTGAATTGAAGAGATTTGAAGAAGCAATCACTTGGTGCGATAAGGGACTAGCTGTATCCTTTGATGGAATCTTTCATTTTTAACCGTGGGTATAATGGAAAAAGTTTCCATAATTTGATGTTTCAAGAGAGAAAATACAAAGAAGGGTATTAATTATGATGGGAACTTGTCAGCTCACATACTTTAAGTGTGTGTGATTAAAAACATAGGAGAAGTTATTACCTCATGACTTATTAATGAAATTACTCCTTTTAGCCAATTTGACTTAGTTCTACTATCCATGCCAATAACTGGTACATTAGTTTAGATAACCTTTTAATTCACAGACCAAATTTGTAATTATCCTTACTGTCAACCATACAATTCTTGTAATGTTAGTACAGAGAATTCAGTATTGCATCAACTAACTATTTTCAAATTGATATATATATTTTTTTTACTCTCAACACTTATCTGATTGATATTGTATTGCTATTGTAAGGAGAAATTCTCTTTTGGTCACTCATGGGAGTTAAAGGGTTAGAAGACTAATATTCATCCAGTTTATACATAGTACTTGGGTAGATGATCTCTCTAAAACAAGCCAGAACAAAAAGCTCTGTAATGTTTTCTTATGCAGATTTTCTTGCCTTCGACCTTTTTCCACTACTTAGAGACTCAGAAACTTTCGTTGTGCTTTCCTATGGACAAATAACAATTTTAAAGACATGTATTTGTGTTGTAGACTCTTTTCTTCCACTGCTGTAAAACATTTGTCTGATGTTAAGGCTATATTAATTAAAAAATTGGGCAAGTGCTGCTCAGTTTTTGGAAACTAGGGATTAAATCTAGATATTTCGCGTTAAATTTTGAGGCTGCACACAGAAAAAACATTTTTTGAAGTGTAGATTTACTTCATAACTGACTTTAAGACTGAATGTTGATAAATCATCTACCTTTCATGCAAAGCCCTCCTAATGGGCCATTTTATAGTTGTGTACTTAGTTGCCAAGCCTTTGATTTGGAGTGAGGCTGAAGGTGACCTTGTTGTGATAGAGACCAGTATCTAGAAACGATAACAACAAAGTAGTTTGCATTTAAAAAGCAGCAATGCTTTAATCATAACAAGGTCACCCTTAATCATGGCTCTTGTTCAGAGGTTTGGGAACCAAGCACGCAAATGTTAAAATGGACTATTACATATCAATATGATCAGAACCATAATCTTTTTTGTTTCTTCCACATTTTTAACCCTTAACATAAAAAAGATTGACAAAAACAATAGCATCTTGTTGTCATTAAGACTTCAGTCTGTCAGTGAAGTGGGAGATAAGTCCATGGAGGAAAAAGGTCCTATGAGTCATGACCACGGTAGTGCAAGTTCAGGTGATGTCAAGAAAGTCATAGATCTCTATAATCAGGGAAAAGAAGCCATAGAGTACCTCAACCTATATCTTAAAAAAGCTAAAGAAGTAGGAGACAAGCATGGGGAGGGTAACGCTTATAGCAGTCTTGGCAATGCTTATCACCGTCTGGGTGATTTCAAAAAAGCCAAGGAGTACCACAACCTACATCTTAAAATAGCTAAAGAAGTAGGAGACAAGCATGGGGAGGGTGTTGCTTATGGCAGTCTAGGCAATGCTTATTTAAGTCTGTGTGATTTCAAAAAAGCCATAGAGTACCACAACCTAAATCTTAAAATAGCTAAAGAAGTAGGAGACAAGCATGGGGAGGGTGGTGCTTATGGCAATCTTGGCAATGCTTATCACCGTCTGGGTGATTTCAAAAAAGCCATAGAGTACCACAACCTACATCTTAAAATGGCTAAAGAAGTAGGAGACAAGCATGGGGAGGGTAACGCTTATTGCAGTCTTGGCAATGCTTATCGCCGTCTGGGTGATTTCAAAAAAGCCATAGATTACCACAACCTACATCTTAAAATCGTTAAAGAAGTAGGAGACAAGCATGGGGAGGGTGTTGCTTATGGCAATCTTGGCAATGCTTATGACAGTCTGGGTGATTTCAAAAAAGGCAAAGAGTACCACAACCTACATCTTAAAATAGCTAAAGAAGTAGGAGACAAGCATGGGGAGGGTGGTGCTTATGGCAATCTTGGCAATGCTTATGGCCGTCTGGGTGATTTCAAAAAAGCCATAGAGTACCACAACCTACATCTTAAAATAGCTAAAGAAGTAGGAGACAAGCATGGAGAGGGTGTTGCTCATGGCAATCTTGGCAATGCTTATCACCGTCTGGGTGATTTCAAAAAAGCCATAGAGTACCACAACCTAGATCGTAAAATAGCTAAAGAAGTAGGAGACAAGCATGGGGAGGGTGGTGCTTATGGCAATCTTGGCAATGTTTATTTTAGTCTGGGTGATTTCAAAAAAGCCATTGAGTACCACAACCTAAATCTTAAAATAGCTAAAGAAGTAGGAGACAAGCATGGGGAGGGTAACGCTTATGGCAATCTTGGCAATGCTTATGGCCGTCTGGGTGATTTCAAAAAAGCCATAGAGTACCACAACCTACATCTTAAAATCGCTAAAGAAGTAGGAGACAAGCATGGGGAGGGTGGTGCTTATGGCAATCTTGGCAATGCTTATCACCGTCTGGGTGATTTCAAAAAAGCCATAGAGTTCCACAACCTACATCTTAAAATAGCTAAAGAAGTAGGAGACAAGCATGGGGAGGGTAACGCTTATGGCGATCTTGGCATTGCTTATGGCCGTCTGGGTGATTTCAAAAAAGCCATAGAGTACCACAACCTACATCTTAAATTCGCTAAAGAAGTAGGAGACAAGCATGGGGAGGGTGTTGCTTATGGCAATCTGGGCAATGCCTATGACTGTCTGGGTGATTTAAAAAAAGCCATAGAGTACCACAACCTAATTCTTAAAATAGCTAAAGAAGTAGGAGACAAGCATGGGGAGGGTGTTGCTTATGGCAATCTTGGCAGTGCTTATTCTAGACTGGGTGATTTCAAAAAAGCCATAGAGTACAACAACCTAGATCTTAAAATAGCTAAAGAAGTAGGAGACAAGCATGGGGAGGGTGGTGCTTATGGCAATCTTGGCAATGCTTATCACCGTCTGGGTGATTTCAAAAAAGCCATAGAGTACCACAACCTACATCTTAAAATCGCTAAAGAAGTAGGAGACAAATCCTTGGAGGCAATGGCCTACTCTTCATTAGCATTGGTTTTTGAGTTGCAAGGTAGACTGCCAAAAGCCGTTGAACATTATCAAGCTAGCATAAACTTATTCAATTCCTTGAGAGTACTTCTAATATCTAAAGATGAGTGGAAAGTTAATTTTCGAAATCAGCATCAAGTGGCGTATACGGGTTTGTGGAGAGTTCTCGTAGAACAAGGTAATGTAGATGAAGCCTTATTTGTTGCTGAGAAAGGACGAGCTCAAGCTCTGACCGACCTCATGGAATCCAGTTTTTGTGGTGGAACAAGTCACCACAAGGGAGAAGATGAAGATTGCGCAGTTTTAAAAAGCGTTCCATCAAACACTGTCTTTCAGGCAGTGGACAAAGCTAACGTCAATCTTTGGGTTGTGTCCGAAGGAAAACAAGTTCAGTTAAGACAAAGTAAACTCAGAGGTTTTGTTTCAGAGAATAGTGGATCTAGCCTGTCCTTTGAGTCGTTCATGCTCGGTATCTATACACAACTTGGTGTTCGTTCTAATGTGAGATGCGAGAATCGATCTTTAGATGCTTTGAGGGAGGGCCGTTCAAAAGTGGATGAGAAAACCAAAGAAGCCAAGCCTCAATCTCGCATCCAACAAGACGGATGCTTGAGCACTTTGTATGATATCGTTATGAAGCCGGTGGCTGACTTGATTGAAGGGGATGAGCTACTCATTATTCCTGATGGACCCCTGTGGATCGCTCCTTACGCTGCATTGAAGGATGGTAATTCTAAATACCTGTGTGAATCGTTCACAATCCGAGTCGCTCCATCGTTAGCAAGTCTTAGACTCATTGCCGATTGCCCTGATGATTATCACAAAAGCAGTGGTGCGTTACTTGTAGGAGATCCGTGGGTATCCGAGGTTACTAACAGCAAAGGAAAGAAAGTCTTCGAGCAGCTTCAGTATGCTAAAAAAGAAGTAGAAATGATCGGGAAAATTCTGAATATCACGCCAATCACTGGCAGTCAGGCCACGAAACGTGAGGTGTTGAAAAGACTCAGTTCCGTTTCCCTAGTTCACTTTGCGGCACACGGATGTATGGAAACTGGCGAAATTGCTCTTACGCCTGACCCAGACCGAATATCTACTGTGCCAACGGAGGAGGATTACATTTTAACAATTGGAGATGTGTTGAATGCTCAACTTCGGGCCAAACTTGTTGTGCTTAGTTGCTGCCACAGCGGTCGGGGCGAGATCAAGGCTGAAGGTGTGGTTGGCATTGCGCGCGCTTTTATGGGGGCTGGTGCTCGGTCTATTGTGGTGTCCCTGTGGGCGATTAATGACGAGGCTACTCTTGAGTTCATGAAACACTTTTATCAACAACTTGCAGGAGGTAAACCAGCAAGCGAGTCACTGAACCTGGCCATGAAAAGCCTCAGAGAATCAGACACGTTCTGCGACATCAAATACTGGGCGCCCTTTTTGCTGATTGGAGATGACGTCACTCTTGACTTCAAGGCAAAGGAAAGAGAAAATTTGAATATGAAATCACATAAATGAAAACTTTTTATTTCATCTCAAAATGAATGACGCAGGAACTTGGAAGGTTTAAATGCTTCTCTATTTTGGCGCTTTTTGGCTATTTTGCATTACTTTTCACTTTTTTTGTTAAATGGAACTTGAGATGTGTGACTTTACTTTGGTGAAGAAATAAAACAGACTATTTCAGAATATTTTGTTCAGTGGAATTGCTATTTTTTTACCTTTACAAATTTAGATTCTTGCGAAGAGAACAAGATGCAACAAGGCTTCTGCTGTTAATGCCTGAAGTTGTTGAAGGCGACTACGAGGTTTTCGTTTCGCCAAAATGACACTCAGATCTATTCCTTTATTGCAATCAGTTATGTGTAAAATAATTTAAAGGTTTTTTTTCTTGTACTCAACCAAGAGCTTGTCCACCGGGTTTTAATTACGTTGATACTCTAAGCTTTTGATAAGCAAAGAAACAGCTTGTCATTTGCAAAAGGTGGCGAAATTTTAATTTCAAAAATGTGATTTGCAAACTTCGCAGCCATATGTGAATTGATCTTAATGGTTTTTCTACGTCATAAATTACTTTGTTGCAATTTGCAATTATCTTTACAAAAAAGTTGATTATCATTTTTAACTTTTTTTCAATCCATTTTAATGCAATCTAACTCCATCAGTGCCAAGATTGCCATTCTAAGCTTAATTTGAAGAAGTAATCATCAGAGATGATGTTGTTGAATTTACTAACCATATGTTAGAGACATAAGACCTACTCTCAGGGGTGTGGCCAGCCTCTAGTCCCGTGGGCCCGGCCTACAATTGTTTTCCGCCCACTTGACTTTTCTAATATGACTCTTACAAATGTTGAAACAAAAATTGAAATTTCTCAGGAAAAAGGCCTATAACAAGTCAAAGAGCTGGCTACAACGCCTTGCTTTCAAACGAGTTTGATAAATTTTAGTCCGTTTTATAAAACACTCATCAGCTCGTTTTAGAGAACGACGACAGAGACAAATTGTCCATGTAATCTAAACAAGGAAATAGCGAAGCAGAGTTTACTTTAACTGAAGTTTCCATTGCTGTGACTTTTAATGTAGGTGACGTGGAATTTGTAGTTTTTATTAGGAAAATATTTACGCCAATAAATTAGGGAAACACTTGAAGTAAGCCATGTAGTCCTCAATGGGAATTATTTTGGTGAAAATGTTCATGAATAAATGTAAATCTAGGCCGTAGTTAAAAAGGTTCAGGGCTTCAGGATAAAACTTGCATTTTTTTGAAAATTTGCTGTTCAAATTTTTTTTTTCATGGCTTTAAATTTACCTTAGTATAATTTGGAGATGTCTGATGATATCTTTCTTAGATTTAAGAATTTATACTTAGGTATTCAGAGCACGCTTTGTAATTAGAACTCGTTATGTGGTCAAAAGTTTAAGGTATACTGTATCACAGCTGTTTTAAAAGAAATTTTTGTAAAATCAATGTTAATTTTTGACAGATTTTCATAACTACCATTGGTATATGCTGGTATAAAATGTAATAGTTAACCTTGCACATGGTTAAATATGATGTAACGTAGGATTTTAAAAACAGGCTGGGACAATTTCGACTAAATATTCTTTTTATAATGTCAGTGTATTTGGTGTGAATTGTTTTGATGCTATTTGTATTAAAAGTTGAAGCTATTTCTTCATTTACCTTAGTTTTTAGTCATTAACTCATTAACTCCCAAGTTGTGAAGAAAAATTCTCCCAACTGATAAGAATGTGTTTCTTTGTTGCTTCATTCTGAGAATTCGATGAAACATAACGTTTCTCGTGAAAAATAATCTGCTAGTTTAGATTGTCTCTAATTCTTATTGACACCATGTTTGTCGGTGCATTAATTTTGTGAGGAGAATTTAAGTTCTGATCAATCTTGGGAATAAATGGGTTCATTTTAGTGTCTCCGTTTAGCGCGTACTTTACTTAATGCCTTGAACAATTTAATGCAGTTTATATTGTACTTTTTTTTACTTTTTTGTGTAAGAGAAATAGAGAGTGTATAAAATACAAAAACTGCCTTTGTTTTCATTGTCTGTCTCCATATTCTAAGGATTCGCGTGACTTGCAGGGAGAACAGATCCTACGGGGACTTCAATGCTTGTTTTGACCCGCGCGCGCCAATTTGATAATCTTTGCAGTTGACAGTGTACTGACATTCCATGTTTCAAGCCCCCACCCACTTAACTAACGCTCGTCGACTCTTCGATTGTGTCTCTTTCAATGCCTACCGTTCTCCATACTTCTCCGAGTCGGTAGCCGTCATCTTGGATGTAGACGCAGAGAGGACCTTGAGAAAGTATTTGACAAGACAATAATCAAGAAAGGTTAAGTTATTGTAATGCTTCCTAAGAGGTAGTCGATAACAGCCCGAGAGATTCATTAGGAGCAAACACGTTCCGTCGATTATTGGACTCCATGTCTCCTTACGTTGTAGAACAAACTCCTCGAATACGTACGTCTATATGCCCCTCTCCTCCTCCCCTAAATAGCACTATACATCCCTTTATTGCAACTTTTAAAATTATACAGCACAATACAACATTATACCCCGAGTAGCACTGTAAATCCGTAAAATGTGGTAACTAGACAACGCTTCACAACAATATGTACTCCTAGATAGCACTATGCTTCCCTCTACTGAATTTTAAATCACCATACAGCGCGGTATAAACAATTGTTCCAATTTGGCGCTAAAATAAGTGCGGATATTTGTCCGCGGTCATTTTCACGAATTTTCTGTCCCAAGTTGCGAAAGCTGTGAGCTTCGAGGAACAGATAACATCCAAGGACAAATATCCGTACATATTTTCGCGCACAAATAGACGCTATTGCGTTTTTTATCCTTAAAATATTTTGCAACGCACGTGAAAAATGTTAATGAACAGCTTACTGAATTGAATACTCGATGAAAACCTCTGCGTCGTTTAAAGAAAACATAGCATTTTCCAGCGCAGTCATGACCCGTCTGACGTGAAGGTACAGAGATCGAGAGTTGATTACGGCTTCAAGTTTCAAACTCGTAAAGGCGGGAACTATGTCTTGAACTCTTGCAATACCCACAACAAGACACAGCTACAGTGTTGTGAATCTCCATTCCCATCTTTAATAGAACTGTGCTATCACGTTTGCATTTTAAAGTCACTTTTGCACAAAATAATGAGCCGATTGGCAGGAAAACAGGCGAAACACGCAACAGCGCTGGTGCTTTTGCGTTTGCGTTTTGGCGTTTGCTCTCTAAAAAGCCGGAGAAAACGTTTTCACTGTCTATTAAATTATTGATCGTTTTCATTTCTCGGGTTCTTCTTTAAAACCGGAACTCGGTTCTTAGCGACTTCTTCAAGTACTGCACTAGTTAAGATGTATCTTAAATCTTTATACAATAGGAAATAGACAAACAACAGGTGGTACCTTTTAAAGGGCATTAAACACGTTAGGATAAGTCTGAAAATTCTTTTGGCAACAATAGTCATCAACAATTTATAAACATCGCTAGCAGTTGCGAAAGTTTACGCGTTATATTTCAGTGTTTTGCATTTGGAAAATTCATTTCTATTTATACGATGACTAACCCTCTTTCTCACAAATGTGAAAATAATTCTGAACCTAGTTAGCTCAGAGTTGATTGAGACAGTAAAAATAATGTCAGCAAATATAAACAGCGACTGATCCTTTTTGAAAACTTGTAAATAATTGTTCTCAGTTCCTCAGGATCGGATGTGCTATTTTTCCCTTCTCATTTTTCAAATGGTATATATGGGTGTTTGAATGTTATATCTGGGGACGAACTTTTCCTGCAAAAAATTTGGGCTCCAAAGACACAATGGTCTCCTACTGACATGAAAAATAAAAAGAAAAAAACACCCTTGAAATATAGATCCATTTTAGGTGAACGTCGCTGAACGTTATAGAAAACAAACAAATTGAGTTTGAAAGGTGCACGCATTTCGGCTGGTGAACATAGTTGTATTCACTGCTCTAGTTCAGTGGAACAATTTATACAACAATAAAGGAGTAAGTTTCTAAAGAAACTGCGGTGCTGCGTCGGTGGGAGAGTATAGCAGGTAATTAATTGTTAACAACTGAGTTGAAAACGTATGGCACTTATCGTCAAAACTTTTCCGTCTTACATTAAGGACAGCTAACACGCACTTGAAATTTTTCGTAACTTTAGTTTCCTCGGCCAAAACAAAGTTATTTTGACTATGGATATAACATCTCTTTATACTGTCATTCCCAATGGTCTCCAGGCCCTCAAACATTTTTCGATCATCGCACTGTTAAGGAACCTAGCTCTGAAACACTATTCCATCTGGCCGAACTAGTGCTCACACTCAATTGCTTTTCATTCGGTGGTAGCTACTACAAACAAACTAATGGCGTGGCCATGGGTACTAAAATGGGACCCAGCTACGCCAATCTTTTTGTAGGTTTTATCGAACATCAATTTTTTAGTCAATACCACGGCCCAAAACCTGAACCCTACAGCCGCATCCAAACCAGTCAGTAGACACTTTAATCTTTCTAATCATTCTATACAGCATGTGGCAGTTTGCGGCCTTTCCTTACATCTAGGCAGTTCGGAAAGCCATAAAACATTAGAACAAAAATTTCTCTTTCAAATCGGCACCCTTGATCCCCACGGAATCAACGAGCGCTTTTCATTCAACTAATTTATTCCTGTTTTCTTGTCACCATATTCCCACCAATGGCGTGGCTCCACTTGCTGCATATAAACCCACACACAACCCTCAATTCCTCCAATCGCTCTTATTCTGAGTGTTTGCTCTTGAATGTCACAGGTAAAAGGCTAAGGTCTATTGCTAAACAACAGTGTGAGATAGAACTACAATTTTGTTTAAATGATAAGGTTTTATGAAAGCATAAATTAGTCTCTCTATTATGAGAATATCTAAACAGCTTTGAGCAGCGACTACATTAAGCTTCCTACTTCTTCCTATTCGTAATGGTAATAGGACTGAGTAGAGT